TTAGAAATAACTCAGAAGATTACATTTCCGTTTGTAGGTTGTTGAACCTTTATAATAGCGTTTCTTTTTAAATGCTTCCTAGAGAAGAAATTATTTACTATGGGACTCCTGTAACTAGTAGCTACAGAATGCAATAATACATTTCTGTTAAGCATAAGCTAATTCTAAGTGAACAGCCATAAAAACAGCTGTATTAAAGGCACGGTCCGTAAAATGACGCCGTCAGGGTGAGGAGGAGGAGATTTTTAAATTCGAACGGCTGTTGCTCACTCCCCCGCCCTTCCTGAAAGAGCCGAAAGCCACGCCTCCCAATGTGCACGCAAGGAAAAGCCGAGTCAACACCAGAGTATTGCTTCTTCATAATAGAGCTGAGCTAGTGTTAGCAATGGAGTTATCTGAGGTAAGAAAGTTGTTTTTAACCAGCACATTAAACACTTACTGTTTACAAAAGGCATTTTATAAAGAATATCTATAAATATATATATTTTAAAATACCAGTAACAGTTGACAATCTATATTGTAAAAAAATTAATCCTATCAAATTGTTAGCATTTTATTACGAGTAATTAGCTTATTTTTAATTGCTTTGCCATTCAAGATGGGATGAATATATCAAAGCATATAATTTATGTGGAAATCATGAATAAACACTGCATTCTGTGTAGTCCTCCTATAATCATGGTTGCTTTCATAGGGTTTCTGGTTATTGTTGGTTTAGCCCAAATCTGATCTGTGTCAAAATTGATTAATATGCAAAAGTACTTTTTATATTAGTATAATTTTTTTTATTCTAATACAAATTAGAGTTCAGTGATTGAGGAATCCTCTGAGGAAGAGTTTGAACCTCCCATTGCATCCTCAAGACGTGGTGCAAAAAGGAGATGCCCACAATCATCTCAAAGCCGTGGTGCATCCAGAGGCCGTGGTGCGTCTAGAGGCCGCGGTGCATCCAGAGGCCGAAGAAGTGCGAGACACTCAGCTGTGGACCTTGGAGTTGAAGATCTCTCTCTCTCGAGAGAGAGAGAGAGAGAGAGCGAATAGACTTTGAACGTGTAAGCATAACAAAATTACACTAAATGATCCTAAAATCTGTTGCTGTAGCATCTCTTTCCACTTTTGTAGCAACACATACAGAACCTGAACCCTCAGCAGGCTATTGACATCCTTACCAAGGTGCTGGACAGAGACCCTGGTGTTCTCTTTGATGTACTTGCCCTCTCTGGTCCACCTGCCACAACATCTCCAACATCCAATCAACCTTCATGGTGTGTATGCTCCCACTGCAGAGATATGCCAACTGATTTGGAAAAGAAATGCTGCCAACAGCCTCCCCAGACATGTATTTCAACTGTACCACACATGGAGGAGTTTATTCTGCAAAATGGTGTTCTTCGCCTGGCCAGCACATTGTGGAATGAGTTTCGAGCAGTTTATGATGACCCGGACCCTGGTGAGGACAACAGACAGTTCCGCCATGCAGCTTACAGACAATTTGTAGCATGGCAGCATGGAAAACTTGGTGGAGGGCGCAGAGTAGTATTCCCAAGCTGTGGTCTGGAGGATAAGGGAAAAATTCCCTGACCCCAATGGTAACTACACTGGTTTTATTCCAAGACGATTGTAAATAAATGTATATATTTGATACTTTACATAAGTTTGTTTTTTATATATTTTTGTTTGATGCTCTAATAAAGTGTTCTAAAGCATAACTCTGTGTTGCATTTGTAAACTTACCATAAATGTTAAAACTCCTGCACAACAACAAAAACTTAAGTCTACCTCCAGCATTTTACATACATTTTTAAATATTAGTCCTTATTTCCCCAAAATATATCTTTATTTTCAAACAAAAAAAGCACAGGAAACAAAAATAAAGAAGGTTTTGGGTTTTCTCTTGCCTCCCCCAACACCTACAGTGGGGCAAAAAAGTATTTAGTCAGCCACCAATTGTGCAAGTTCTCCCACTTAAAATGATGACAGAGGTCAGTAATTTACATCATAGGTACACTTCAACTGTGAGAGACAGAATGTGAGAAAAATCTATGAATTCACATGGCAGGATTTTTAAAGAATTTATTTGCTGATAATGTAAAAACTGATATTTAAAGGTGAATGTTTTAATATTCTCTCTCATACTCTGGAGTCCCCATAGCTTATTTAGCTAATTCAAATATTTAAAAATAAATAATAAAAGATACTCGTGAATGAGTTGACGTCATCGATAGAGCCCAAGTCTTCGTATGAATTAACTTTCTCAGATAAATGAATTTTATGATCTGAAACACGTCCAAAGTGCCATAAAAGACTGACTCATCCAGTCAGCTCATCTACAAGAAAATTAATGAAAACATATGTCAGTCAGCAAAGCTATGGTACTTAAGCAACTTTTGTTTTTATATACCCTTGTTACATAAAAAGTGTACCATCTTCTCTATCTGGCTCCTGGAGGTGAACCTCAAAACAATTTTATACATTTTTCAGCTGTTGGAGTTCAATTTGACTTTTGTATGTTTCAACCTCCAGGTTAGGGATGAGGTCCTGCCTCAAGTGGAGGAGTTTACGCATCTCGGGGTCTTGTTCACGAGTGAGGGAGAGATGGACCGGTAGATCGATAGGCGGATTGGTGGTCTGCAGTGATGTGGGCATTTTTACCAGTCTGTCGTGGTGAAGAATCTATGATCATGAGCTTTGGGTAGTGACCAAAATGATCACTGATACAAGCATTCGAAATTAGTTGTCTGCGCATTGTGGACTGGATCTCCCTTAGAGATAGGGTGAGAAGCTCGGTCATCTGGGAGGGGCTCAGAGTAGACCTGCTGCTCCTCTATTTGGAGAGGAGCAGGAAGATTTTATAAAAGGGCAGGGTAACACATCACTTGACCAATCGGTGGAGAGTGGGCGTGTTGGGCCGGGTCGGCCTGAAGTAGACCCCCTCGAGAAGAGGGCTTAGAATGAGCCTTGGTTGGCCCGGAAAAATACCAGGCCACCCAGATATGTAAACAACCTACGCTACCCGGCCCGGGCCGATTCGGTGCCCTAATCCTTTATTAGCACATCGAGTTACGCCGCTGCCATCAAACTGCCTCCATCCTCTGACCGGTGGTTGCTTTTTTGGTGCATCCAGCCTAATCTCATAACTAGATGCTAATTTTAGGCTGGTTCTTAGTAAAATGTCCACATTTTTTTGGCCTTAACGATCGAGTTGGAATTTCTCTGCTCGGTTCTTGTCTAAAATCGATTTTTGTTGTTAGTTTTTTTCATGTTTGCAAGAAAGCTGAGAGGTCATCTTATACCAATCATAACCCCCAACCTGATAGTCTCTTTGTTTTGCTGACAGATATCACTTTTAGTCCTTATCCCTTATGTAGGTCAAGTAGTTTGTTACTAAACACCAAAGTGGACCTTCTGTTTACTGTCGATCCTGCCCGTGTGTCAGTAGGTGTTGTTTTTCCCCCTCCGGCTGATCCTTTCTGTGATCGGTGCTGACATTTGGCTGAGTGGGATTAGAAATCTTGATCTCCTGGAAGAGAGGCTACCGTGAAAAACAAACGCCAAACTCTGAGGTCATGTGTTTCTCTGTCATATAACAGGGACACCTGTCATTTTACATTCTCAAGCTTTTAATGTTTCCAAGTTTTAGGAAACGTTTCGTATCAGTGAACTAGCTGTATAATTTAAACTTGTGGAACTCTGAAAAAATATTTTTTAATGATTATTTCTGATTATAATCGGTCACTCTTGAGTTTTTCAAGCAGGCTGAACATGAAAATAGTCTCCTACACCTGTCTTATGCATTAGCTTCTGATAGAAAATAGATGGGCAAACTCTAGGATTTGAAAATCCTGGAAGATCTGTGTCACACTGTCACTTAACATTTGTGGATTCACCAATCTTGACTCAACGGGGAAGGCTGTTGTTGGTTTAGTATCCTGGAAACAGCAGAGCATGCCTCTGCTAGTAAAGCTAACCAGTAGCATTAGCAACTTCACCACACTGCAGAACTCTTTCAGTCGTGTGTTATTTGGTCGAGATAAAACATAAAAATATAAAACAAGTCTGCTTCGTGTAAACAGGAATTAAACCTGCTTGTTAAAAATATGTCTGTTTTACATAAACCTGAGCTTTTCCAAATGCTTGGAGCTCTGTATGCTTGTAAATATGTGAGCACATGTTTTTACATCACAGGGTGTGGATGTTTATGACTTCCCTGAAGATGCCCTGCTTTCTCTTTGCTCTGCTGTTTAAGGATTAAGCTCAAAGCTCCTCTCAGACTCAACATGCTGCGCACAAACCCGTCAGGAGCTCAGTCCCACACTGAGATTTACTGTTAGTTGGCTCTACAAGCCAAGTGCACTGCAGCCTTCTACTGTAGCTCCCACGAATCTGAGAGGATGTTCAGCAAAACCTCCGGCACAGGAGGGAGATCTGCCAGGACAACAAAGTCTATGAGATTTTTTAAGAAAGAGAGGCTTTTTTTATTTATCACACTAGATTTTAAATAGCTTTTAAGTGAGTGAGCAAGCTGTTTGGTTAAAATGGAAGCTGGGGCTTGAGCATTTTCACAAGTATGGGAATAGGTAGCTCGTTTGCAACAAGATCTGATCAAATCTTCACAATAAGGTACGTTCTAAAGCTGTGTTAGTGGTCTTTAGTGGTGAACGTGCTTCAGTAGGTGCACTCAACAGATGTCCACCTGGTTTCGTATGAAAGCATATGATGGGTTTTTGGTTTCTCATTAAACAGTGAATGGCTTTTAAACGTCACATTGGTATTCTGAGAGCAAAAATCCTCAGCAGGTTTAATGTCACTGAGTCTGTTGTTTGTGTGTCCTGTTCTGCTGACATATCCAAAGGACACGTGATACATGTGCACTATTGTCATAGTCACCATCATCATTGTTTTTACTATAGTTTTGTCTCTGTATGAGTTTTTTGGTTTGGGTTATATTTTGCACACTTGCAGATAGTCGTGTGTTAATTCAGCTGCTTCTCTTGTTGCAGAGTGAGTTTGACACCGAGGCAGAACCTCCCTCGCATCATCCTCAAAGGAATCTTCCCGGGAGCTAAAGTGGTTCGTGGACCAGACTGGGACTGGGGCAACCAGGACGGTGTGTGTGTGTGTGTGTGTGTGTGTGCGTGCGTGCGTGCGTGTGTGTGTGTGTGTGTGTGTGTGTGTGTGTGCGTGTTTATTCAAATTGTTCAGTCATATTGCTACCATCTTTGCAATGTCTGCTTTGTTTTTTTTAGTGTGGAACTCTGTTTTCAAAGTGCCTCATCCTCCGAAGGCCATAATAACATTTTAACCTCACGCCTCACTAACCTGAATAATGTTGTGTTCCTGTGTGTGTGTGTGTGTGTGTGTGTGTGTGTGTGTGTGTGTGTATGTGTATGTGTGTGTGTGTGTGTGTGTGTGTGTGTGTGTGTGTGTGTGTGTGTGTGCGCGCGCGCCAGTGAGTCATCGGAGTCTGTCCCACAGATGTGCCAGCCTGTTTGTGTGTGTCGTTACTGAGTCCTTGTTTTATAACAAGCTTGTTTTTTCTGCTTCTCCTTCCTGGTTCCTGCTTCATCTGAAAAGCTCCTTCACGTTAACTCTGATATGTAGATTTGGAGAAAGTGAAAAGCATTCTTTGCAGCTACGTCCTTGAGTGCTTGTGACACTTCTGAATGTCAGCAGGTTTCGTTTTGTGACTAAATGTGCCTCAGTCCTGTTGAATAATGTCCTTCCCTTCAGGTTCTATCAATACTTTCTGGATAATGTCTTATATTAATTTCATTGTAAATGAACTAAGGAATTGTTCCTTTTGTGGAAACTCAAGTGCCAATAAGTCTTTTTGTTTGCTGAGCCACTGTGAAAGTAGCGGCGCTCCCTTTTTTTCTAAGAGCGAATTAGTCAAAATGTCCTTTTAATCCCTTTAAAGTCCCAGCCCTGAGGTTACAATAGGTTATCAGTCATAAATGTTGTTATTTGGTGTATATGGGACTTTATTAGCCATGTCAGGTACAAGTTACTGGTTTAGTTTGGATTATTCAACAATTAAGCAACCTAATTGCTTTTTTAAACATTTTTCTGGCAGAAAAAATACTCCTTGATAAGAATGCTCAGTTGATTTTTTTAAATTACAATTTAAAATATATAATTTATAATCTTGTTGCATGTTTTCTATTCATCAAAACCAACTGCCTTTTTCATGTATGTAATAATTTCTCTTTGTTTCTTTGACTTACATTTCACCGCCTTATTTTGTCTTTTTCTTCCACAAATTCATCCAATGTTGTTTCTTGTATATATTTTTTGTTTGTTTGTTGCTGTGTACTTGTGTGTAGGTGGGGAGGGTAAGGTTGGGACGGTAGTGGACATTCGCGGTTGGGACACAGAGTCTGGTCGCAGCGTGGCTTGGGTCACCTGGCCTAACGGGACCACCTATGTCTACACAATGGGTCATGAAGGCAAAGTAGACCTCAAATATGAATCGGATGGCCAAGGAGGCTTCTATTACAAGGATCACCTACCGAAGCTTGGTGAGACGGCACTTCTGTTTACTACTTCTTAAGGACGTATATGACTTACACCATTTGCAATTTTCTTGGCTAATTTTGATTATAAAATATTTTTTTTATTAATTATTTTGTTTAGTTTTTAATAAATTCTAGTCTCCTGTCACAAATTTCTCTCTTTAACTGTAACTTAAAGGTTGAATATGGAACAATTAAATAAAAAATTACATATATTTTTAATAACACTTTCACGAGGCGCTTAGAGGCGTGCAGTATGATCTTTAAAAACTATAATTAATTTAAAAGATTCAAATATTTATTTTTACATGCACAACACAGGGTTTATGTTTACATCTACCAGCCAATAAAGGGCACCGTTGAGGTAAAAAGTCCACTCTGCACATCAAGGCTGGCACTGTGGCAAATGGTGGATTCGACAAGTCAAGCAGCTGCTTCTGAGCTCAGGAGATGTTCTAACGTTAAATATTGTTGTAAAGTAAAGGTATTAGTACAAATGAGACCTTACCCTGTGTGATCCATCACAGGACATGGCACTGACTGATCACTTCACGCATCGGCATTGAACCTGACCTCAGTTTTATTCTTGACATTTTCAGTACCTTCCAGAAGGAGCCATTTCAGGCATTTAAAGAGACAATGGAAACACATTTTTACCTCTTATTTTTCTACTTTGGTATTTTTGAAAATAGTCTTTTTATCTCCTTCATTAGCTTCTGATAGAAAATAGTCAGATCAGATTTGAAATCCCTGACAGATCTACATCACACTGTCACTCAGCATTCATGGTCTCACCCATCTTGACTTGCAATGGGGAAGGCTGTTGATGGTTTAATGTCCAGGAAACAGCAGAGAACGTTATGGCTAGTAAAAGCTAACCATTAGCATTTACTGGTTACCAGTAAACTACAGAATCAATTTCAAAGCACTTCTACTAGTTTATAAATCACTCAATGGCATGGGGCCAGAATACATGTCAGATCTCCTTCAGGTATATGCGCCCAGCAGGGCTCTGAGATCCTTAGGAAGCGGTCAGCTGGTAGAACTCCGGGTCAGAACCAAACAGGGTGAAGCTGCTTTTAGCTCCTATGCAGCTCACAGATGGAATCAGCTTCCTCATGACCTCAAATGTGCCCCAACTCTAGTAACTTTTAAATCAAAATTGAAAACCTTCATGTTTTCATCAGCCTTTGAATAAATGTTTTTATGCTGCACCTTCTGCACTGTATTTGCTCACCCTTTAACTTTAACTTAGTTTCTTTTTTGTTTTTAAATTGTATTTTCTGTCACGTTGATTTTAATGTTCTTGCTAATGGAAAACACATTCAATTGCCTCTGTGTGTGTGAAATGTGCTATATAAAAAAGCTGCCTTGCCTCGCCTATTAGCAACTCCTCAACACGGCAGAAGTCCTCCAGGCTTGTGTTACTTGTGGAGATAAAACTTCAACATTGTAAAGCAAAGCATAGTCAATAGTAGTCATGTTACAACTTACAATTCATTTATTCCTACAAGAGTCCATTGCAAGTGCATCAAATGTATGAGTGAAGGACCTCTTTAAAGAGGGACTGCACACCATCTGAAAATGTAACTCTAGTCAAGATTTGAAAAATGCCATGAAAGTGGGCGTTGCCAGGAGGCACAGAGTGGCATGGCCAAGTGTGGGGAATTTCCATCCTGAGAGGGAGGGGGAGTGGTAGGAGACTGTACCGATGACTTAAAATTGTTCCAGCCCCAGTCAATCACAAGTTTAACATGCAGTAGCTGCTGTTCTGCCACAGGTGGCAGCACTAAGACGTTTTTAGACCTACAGTGGGGCAAAAAAGTATTTAGTCAGCCACCGATTGTGCAAGTTCTCCCACTTAAAATGATGACAGAGGTCAGTAATTTTCATCGTAGGTACACTTCAACTGTGAGAGACAGAATGTGAAAAAAAATCCATGAATTCACATGGCAGGATTTTTAAAGTATTTATTTGTAAATCAGGGTGGAAAATAAGTATTTGGTCAATAACAAAAATTCAACTCAATACTTTGTAACATAACATTTGTTGGCAATAACAGAGGTCAAACGATTATTATAGGTCTTTACCAAGTTTGCACACACAGTAGCTGGTATTTTGGCCCATTCCTCCATGCAGATCTTCTCGAGAGCAGTGATGTTTTCAGGCTGTCGCTGAGCAACACGGACTTTCAACTCCCTCCACAGATTTTCTATGGGGTTGAGGTCTGGAGACTGGCTAGGCCACTCCAGGACTTTCAAATGCTTCTTACGGAGCCACTCCTTTGTTGCCCGGGCGGTGTGTTTGGGATCATTGTCGTGTTGGAAAACCCAGCCACGTTTCATCTTCAAAGCTCTCACTGATGGAAGGAGGTTTTGGCTCAGAATTTCACGATACATGGCCCCATTTATTCTGTCCTTAACACGGATCAGTCACCCTGTCCCCTTAGCAGAAAAACAGCCCCAAAGCATGATGTTCCCACCCCCATGCTTCACAGTAGGTATGGTGTTCTTGGGATGCAACTCGGTATTCTTCTTCCTCCAAACACGACGAGTTGAGTTTATACCAAAAAGTTCTACTTTGGTTTCATCTGACCACATGACATTGTCCCAATCCTCTGCTGTATCATCCATGTGCTCTCTGACAAACTTCAGACGGGCCTGGACATGCACTGGCTTCATCAGCGGAACACGTCTGGCACTGCAGGATTTGATTCCCTGCCGTTGTAGTGTGTTACTGATGGTGACCTTTGTTACTGTGGTCCCAGCTCTCTCCAGGTCATTCAACAGGTCCCCCCATGTGGTTCTGGGGTTCTTGCTCACTGTTCTCATGATCATTTTGACCCAACAGGATGAGATCTTGCGTGGAGCCCCAGATCGAGGGAGATTATCAGTGGTCTTGTATGTCTTCCATTTTCTGACAATTGCTCCCACAGTTGATTTTTTTCACACCAAGCTGCTTGTCTATTGTAGATTCACTCTTCCCAGTCTGGTGCAGGTCTACAATTCATTTCCTGGTGTCCTTCGAAAGCTCTTTGGTCTTGGCCATAGTGGAGTTTGGAGTCTGACTGTTTGAGGCTGTGGACAGGTGTCTTTTATACAGATAATGAGTTCAAACAGGTGCAATTACTACAGGTAACGAGTGGAGGACAGAAAAGCTTCTTAACGAAGATGTTACAGGTCTGTGAGAGCCAGAGATTGTCCTTGTTTGAAGTGACCAAATACTTATTTTCCACCCTGATTTACAAATAAATTCTTTAAAAATCCTGCCATGTGAATTCATGGATTTTTTTTCACATTCTGTCTCTCACAGTTGAAGTGTACCTCTGATGTAAATTACTGACCTCTGTCATCATTTTAAGTGGGAGAACTTGCACAATCGGTGGCTGACTAAATACTTTTTTGCCCCACTGTATGTCTGTGGCAACGTTTTACCTGTAAATAAAAAATAAACTCAATTAGCAATAGACTTTTGTGTGGAAGATGTAAGGCAGATAATGTTTTATTTTACCATCACCGCGAGTCCGTAGGTGTTGTAGAAGTTCCTCTGTAGATGGTGCAGGGACTCCGGACAGCAAACCGTAACGCCTTGGATCCTCAGGCCTTAGCTTGTAGCGTCGAGGAAGACCTGTCTTGCTTGTCAAACGTTGGTTGACGATCATGGTTTGGATCTCTGGGATGTAGGAGTAGTCTTTTGCAAGTGGTGCTCGCTGCAGAACCACAAAGGTGGAGCTGCACCAGGGTCAGCCCCACCCATTCCAGAGTCAGCCCCGTCCATTCCATCAGAGTCAGTACAATTCCTTCCAGTTGTCAGACTTGATAGCATTCTGGAACCAAAGAGGGTTTTATAGCTAAAAAATACAAGATTGAGGACGGAGGTGAGAAGTTAACTGAACAGTTTTTGTAAAGGTTCTATATAATTAAAAATCTAACTTTTGTAACTTTTTTATCATGTTATATTGTCATTTCCTCATAAGAAACACGCCAAAGCCATTTTTGGCCTCTTTCATGCATTTTCCTCCCATCTCAGCTTCAATTTGGTCTCCTCCCCTGAAGTGGGTCTGGTCTTGGTTCTCAAATCTGGATATTCTGTGAATTTTCTGACAAATTATTTCTGAAATGACTTCTACTGAGACACCGCCAATAAACCATACATCCCATCTCCAAAGACACACTGGATAGGACAATTACATGTAACACCACTTATTTCATATCAGATGTGGTGGGGTAGGGGCTATGGAGGCAGGTTGGCATATAGTTTTGCGCAGGTTCGACTCCCAGTGGCAGAAATCTTAGGTAGATTACAACCCCTTTTCTTAATTTCTAGCTACACTTGCCAGTACTATGTTTACAACAATGTAACGTGAGGAAATATGGGTTTTCTGTCACAATGGTGGTGTTGGACGCAGCTGGGTCATAGCTGGGTCGCTGAGAACTTTCACCCACAGATTAAGACCTGAACGCCAGCGAGTCTGGGAGGAAACCATAACATCTGCCACCTGCAGTCTACCAGAAGATGTGTTTACATGAGTTGTACCCAGACCAAGTCAAAACATAAAGTTTAAACTTCTTTTTCTTGATTTTAATGTTAAAGTAACCATTATCATTTTGCTCATTATAAATGTGATTAATCAAATGAATGACTATTTAGCTTTGGGGTAATTATAATGGTTTAATGAATCCATTCTTAAATAATGTTGAGAATGTTTGTTACTGACCTTCACACACACTCAAGCACAAACATTCACACACATCCACACACACCTGCTCACAGTAAACTCCAGACACATTTGATGACGCACGTTTGCTTTGAGAAGAGAAAGGTTTTTGGTAAGTTTTCAGTCTTATGATTCAGTTCGTGTTGGACAACGAGAGAGAACAGACCTGAAAACCAAAGGGGGGGCAGAGCCTGTTGGCTCGTTCTTCCCCCCTTTCACGCTGTTTCTGCCAAGCCAGGCAGAATAGCTGAATCGCGACTTCTAACGAAGACTCATTACCGAGTCTTTT